AAGCCAACCACGGAGCACAGCATTTTGCTGAGAGTGACACATCTTCCAAAATGGAGATGGGAAATCACAACCTGACGACTGAAAAGCCATGTGTCAGTCCTGAAAGGTACCTTTGGCACCCAGAGGGTGAGTGGGGACCACCACGGGCATCAGTAGCTCCTTTATTTTGCTCCTAGAAGCAATAGATAAAAAAAAAAAAAAGAACAGCTTTGCTTCTCCAGTCAGCCCATTTCTGTGAATTCCAGAATGTTCTCAAGCTGTTTGAGTTTATATCAGAAAGCAGGCGTTTTATTCCAGGGCTGGGGTCTCTTTTCCTTTTATTGATGATGAAAACAAAACAAAAGCAAAGACTGGAGGAAGTGATAAAACTCTTCTTGGTTGCTTTATGGAAAAGAAATTCTCTTGATGAGAAGACAAAAGGAACCAGGTAGAATTAAGTGCTGCTAATGAAATTTAGGATCAAGTCTTAGCAGGTGCAGCCCCTGCTCAGAACAGTTAGCACCCCATGGATAGGATGCCATGACCCTTCTGAGACCAAATCCAGCTCTGGCAGCTCCTTCACAGATCTGGGTCAGTGTCACACCAATTGCAGGGGACACTTCACCACCAGAGCATCACCTCCCAAAATAAGTATGAAACAGCAAATTGCCATCCAGCTAAGGGGGTGCATTAATTATTTTTCTTGTTGCTGTGTCCGAATCCCTGACAAGAAGCAGTTTAAGGAAGAGTTCATTTGGGCTTTCATTTTAAGGGGATACAGTTCACTGTGGCAGAAAAACATCGCAAACAAGGAATATGACATGGCTGGCCACACTGCTTCCAAAATCCAGAACAGTGGGTGGACAGACAGGAACTGGTGCTGGGCTATCAAACCTCCAAGCCCACCCCCAGTGATCTACTTCCTCCAATGAGGCTCCACCTCCCAAAGGTTCCACAACTTTCCCAAACAGAGCCACCATCTGAGGACCAGATGTTCAAACACCTGAGCCTGAGGGAGACATTTCACATCCAAATCACAACAGGGTCACCAGTGGTTCTAAGGGAGTTATGTGGCTCAAATCTGAGCAATGACCAGGGTGTGCCATGGGACATTAAGGGTTGTGTATGGAGCTGGGATTCTCCTAAAATAAAAAATATGAGATGGAACTGCACACCTCAGCCATCAAAGTAAATGATAATCTGAGGCAATATTCTTAAAACTCAAAATGAGTACACACACACACACACACACACACACACACTCCACGAGGAACAAGATGGTCAACATTTTAAACAAAGACTAGGTCAATGCTATGGTATCCCTCTGTCTCAGGCTCAAAGAGGCCTCAATACAGACTCACTGACCCTGCCTTTCATTGAAACACAAGCATCTTGTTCATCATGGAACAGACGGATACATTTTGAATTTTATGAACATTATCTTAAAATATTATTTCTCTTGGGTTCTGAGATTTGGACACCCCACCACGTTTAGGGTCTGAGGTACATGTCTCCATCCATTAATGGCTTGTCATCTGACGGCTGTCATATTTCCTTCTAGGCTTTTCTCTCTCTGCTGCTGTGTCTGTGCAGAGGAAATGTACCCAGGAGCTGGTTTCTCAGGTGGCCGGTCCAGTCAGGCTTCTGTCTGCAAACATTCCTGGACTCACCACTATTTTGTGCTCTAGTTTTATCTGCCAGTTCCCTCCTCCTACCCTGATCCTGTCTTTACCTAGAACCTTCTACCTATGACCCCATGCTACGTCTAGCCAAGGCTGTGAGACTGAGTGACAGCGTTTTTTTCCTCTTCTGGAGGAACTGATTCCTCATGATACCCTGGCTGTAATGTCATCAGGCTGGAATAACTTGACACTACCATTGGTCTGAAACACAAGTTGTTTTTCTTCCAACGCTTAGGGCTGGGTTATTGCTGGTTTCCTCTCATAGGACTGTGAACAGGTCATCAGCTGCTTGTTGTCAGCTGCTGTCACCTTACAGCTCAGTGAGGGATTCCCTAAGTAGCAAGAGCAGAGCATGGACCCCAGCGTAAGGGACCTGCAGGCTGGGAGGGGCACGCTGCTCTTGCAGAGAGCTCCTCACATGAAAGAGTCCTCAGCCAGAACAGAGGGCCCTGCAAACTCCAAGGAAGCTGTCACGCAGGGCACTGATTCTTGAGTAGCTGATCCCTAATAGCAGCCCCTGGTATTGTCATGACAAGGCTCAAGACACTGTGCTATCATCTATGGAGCACCAAGTGAGATGTAAGGATCCAGAGGCCAAGGACAGCCCTGCCCCTGAACTATGGTGGGAATGAATGCACTGGCTATTTCAGAGGATGGCTAACATAATGAGTCATTGTGGAAATGTTTGAAAACAAATGTGAGATATATTATTTTAACAGTTATCTAAGCAAAAGTGACAAGTATCTTTTCAACATGAAACATAAAATGGGAGGTAGTGGCCCCTGTGAGACACACAAGGCAGCAGGGGTCACAGTCCTGAAAGGACGCCCGCTTGGAAGCAGACCCCAGAGCAAACAGGAGGAGAAAGGCCCAGCCCCTTGTTGCTTCCACTGCCGAGCAGAGGCTGGGCAGGCAGAGTCCTGAGCAAGGTGGCTGGAGAAACACCATGATGCACACCCTGCTGAGGAACCCTGGGTGCGGTCCTAAGGGAAGATGGCAAGTGACACATGCAAGGTGAACCAGAGCCTCTCTCTGATTCATCAGAAGGGACTCCAAGCACACTCTTCAGAGAGGAGGAGGCATGGTAAGCAGTAGCTTGGGGACCCTAGGATTACTACAATGTGCCTCCGTAGCAGGGACCTTTCCCACAAGACAGCCCTGAAGTCCACAGAGTATGTGACCCAGCAGAATGGACACCTGCTCCTTCTTCTTTGGCTACCCAGACATTAAGCCTTCCTTTGTTTCCAGCACATCCCCTTGTGCTTCTGAACAGAAAGCAGAGCCAAAAAAGGCCAAATGGTCATTTTTCAGCCTCCTTTGCAGCTAGGCCTATGTAAGGAGCTGAGATCCACATATCCTGGACTTTGAATCAGGCCTTAAGAAACTTAACACAAAGAAGAATCAGAGCATTCTCTAACAGTGGCCATGACAACAGCCTTGGATACTAGAGCCAGGGATGCCCAAAGACCTGGGCCAGCAGCAGAGATGGTACCAACAAGATACCCAGTATCCAGGGATGTCAAAAGCAATTGCAGAGGCCTCGCCAGACTGTTTTGGAATGTGGTTTGGGTTGAGGTCCTAAATGATGAGGTCCTTCATCTCTTTTTCCTAACTAATTTCCAAAGCTAGCTCTATAGCCTTCTGCTGAGGTAAATATTTACAAACCCTCGGGAAAAAGGAAGGTCATGTAAGCTCGCAGTGAGAAAGCAGCCATCTGTAGGTGCAGTGGGCTTTCACCAGGAGCCAAACCTGCCAGCTACTTTAATCTTAGACTTCTCAGCCTCTAGACTTTTTTTTTAATTTTTAAATTGAATTTGTGTATTTCATATAATACATCCAGATCATATTTCGACCTCCCTCACCTATCTGCATCCCTAACCAACCCCCCCCCACACACACACACACTGGATTTCCTGCATTTTGTCATATATGTTAAGGCCTATTGGGCCAAGTTTGTGTCTCCAAATGCCCCTCAGTGACAGTCCATCCACTGGGAGCCTGGTCAACCTATCTAGTGTCACTTCCTTAAAGAAAATTAACTCTCCCTCTCCCAGTACACATTGGTTGCCAATAGTTCCTCAGTGAAGGTTGGGACTTCTTACCCATTTCCCCAGTTCTATGTTGGGTTTTTGTCTGGTTTGAGTTTGCATGGGTCTTGTGTATGCTGACACCATTGCTGTAAGTTCATATGAACAAGTTCCCCATATATACTCTTATATTTATAGACAAGTATACTTCTCATCACTCATCAAAGAACCTTCTTTTTACAACAGATGGAGACTATTAAGAGTTCCACAACTGGTCAAACACAGAGAATAAGTATCTAAAAGGCATCCAGCCCTACGTGGCACATCTACAATGTAACCTCTACACCTAAGGCTCAGGAGCACAGTGGAACAGGGGGCAGAGAGACTATTAATGTATCTTTTGACGCTCACCAGCAAAGCTTCCTCTTGCAATAAATTCTGATTAACACAGAACTTTCCAAAATATAGAGAATAAAGGACTGCAGACTGCCATGTCCCTGGATTAGACTCCTATATTAAACCTCCGTCACACGAGGCTCAGGAACCATTGTAGAAGAGGGGCCAGAAAGACTGTAAAAGCCAGAGGTGGTAGATGACCATAAGAAATCAGCCTCTATCACTTTGAGATATATATGACTGCTATCTAAGCCAGTACAGACTGCTAACTGTATGGGATTTGTTTTGTATGTGTTTGCTTTTTGTTGTTTTTTATAGTATCCAGAACTATGTTACCTTCTTAGACATTCCTTGGTCTACCTAATCTCTGATCAAGAAATCACCTTACATCCCCTCCAAGGCTCAGAGAACATTGTAGAAGAGGAGACGGAAAGAATTCAAGAGCTGGAGAATGGGAAGGGTGGCTATAAACAGTCTTCTGGACAGGACCTGGCTGTGCACCCATGAACCCACAGCAGCAGAGGCTGCCTACACTGGGATACTTGCTTGAGACTCAGCTCATCAACATTCTGTGGCGGATGGGGGAGGGACTCATGAGGCCCCACCTCTCCCTGAGGAGCTGTAGACAGTGGTTACTAGAGAGAAGGACAGGAAGTCAGATTCCTCGGTGTAGTAGTCAATGGTAAGTTGCCTTTGCTCAAGTAAATAATTCCTCACCCACGTTCATGTAAGCAACTCTAATTAAATGCAGCAGAGCACAAAAGAAGACATGAAAGTCAGAAGGGGACTCGTTGGGAAAAAGGGGAGTGCGTGCGTGCGTGCGTGCGTGTGTGTGTGTGTGTGTGTGTGTGTGTGTGTGTGTGTGTATAAATGAAGAGAAAGAATAAATAAAAAAAATAAATTTCCTTACCATTTGCATAAGAATTCTGGTGATAAATCCAGTCAAAGGAGCACTCCAGATCCAGACCCGCCTCTCTGGCTCTCTTGGTTGCCGACACAGATTCTTGGCTGAGGCATCAACTTGAAGAAAAGGAATGAATCCAACTGCTCAAGTCACATGGGGCCAGGTGGTCATCCATCTGCAGGGGAGGAACAAAATAATCTTTAATTCATGTCAGAGGGGTAGAAATTGCATGTTTTTGGGTTGTGGATTCGATGGCTTTTATTTTAATAGTGTAATGTAGAGTGACTTTGGCTGTAATCTGGATAACTTTTTTAAAGTTAAAAGGTGTTCTGGCACACACTACCTTGCCATGATCAATGAGGACTGGACTTATTCAGAAGGGTGCCAACCAGAGGTGGGAAAATACTGAAGATTTGGCCATTGCACTGAAAGAAAGTTCAGCAGAGACAGCCTGGCAGCAAGCCAAGCAGCTCCAGTGCTGAGCCTGATCCCTGTCCTAGCCCTGATGACACACTGTGATTCCAGTGAACAATGATCTCCAGCCCCAGTCAGACTCCCTGAGAAAGAAGGCAGATGGTATCTGTACCCCCTCTCAGCCCCTCTGCACAGTGTGGGTTGAGGAAAATGGTACGATTCATTTCAAGGTCACAGCATAAAATCAACGAATGGTAATACAGTTGTATGACTTTTCCTGAGAGACACGGACAAATATCTACTCACACAAGGTAAGGTGAGGTAGTGAGATGGCTCAGGGGGAAAGGTACTTGCTGCACAGCCTGGTGACTTGAGTTCAATCCCTGGAACACACGAAAAGGTGGAAGGAGAAAACGAATTCAACACAAGGTAAGGCACCATGACAAATCAAAGAGGCAATTCCACCCAAGCCTAGCTTGATAAACCAATGAGTTTATTGGGGTTACTTACAGGAGCATGAGTGACTCAGAGGCCCACCCCAGCATGGACAATTCATGAAGCTGCATTCCTGGAACTCCCTGCTCAGCTTCAGGCTGCTCCATAAGAGAGTCCTCCCCTCAACGATCATTTATTGCTTTTGTGTGGGGTGTGTGTGTGTGTGTGTGTGTGTGTGTGTGTATACATGTGTGTGCAAGGCTGTTGTTCCTCAGGCACTATCCATCTTTTATTGTTGTTTCTAATCGGCTTTTGAGACAGGGTCTCTCATAGGCCTGAAACTCATCAAGCAGGCTAGGTTGGCTGGCCAGGGAGCACCAGGATCTGATTGTCTTCACCTTCCCAGCACTAGGATTACAAGCATGTGCCGCTATGTCTGGCTTTTATTAGTTAGCTTTACCTGGGTCATGGGACTCGAACCCAGGTCTTCATGCTTGTTCTTTATACCTACTAATCTCTCCAGCCTCTGCTTACAGCTTTCATAACTTTGGGGAGGGGCTAAGCACAGCTTTCTCAGCTTCCTAAGTCTTAAATTTCCTCAGCCTCATGAACCTCCTCCCACTTCCCTCCAAGACAGAATGTTTCAATTTGGAGAAAATAGCTATTCATCACTCCCAGGATTTTGAACCTGTAGACAGTAATGTGGTAACACATATTTAACAACCACATCCCCAAGTAGAAGGGGGAATACAGTTTCAGGTTGGGCATTTCTAATCCCAAAGCCCCAAATTCCCCCAAGCCCAACATTTTTTAGCACTGACATGATGACCCAAGTGGGAAATTCTACACCTGACCCACATGATGGGTCAAAGGTAAAATACAGGAGTTAAGTACTTTTGGTAAGTATTGAACAAAGTTATCTTCAGTTATATGTACAAATACATGTAGGATATGAATCACTTCGTGTTTAGACTTGGGTCCCATCCTCAAGATTATCTCATTGCAAATATTCCAAAATCCAGAAGAATCATAATCAGAAATAATTCTGGTCTTGAGTATTTCAGATAAGTCATACTTAACCTGTATATACATACAGGGGATATTGCTTTTTCTTCAGATATAAGGGCTAGGATACAATTCATAGATAACATAATGCACAATACTCTCCTTTAGCCCCCACAGTTAATGGATTCAACGCTTTTGCTGATTTTCTCAAGTCTATTATTCATAGTTAAACTATGGTTGCAATGAAACCTTGATTTGGCAAATAGAGCTTCATCTCAGTCTATGAACTCTTCTCAATAAATTGTCATTACATCTGATGACATCTATTGATAAACTTATGCAAACACTGCTCGTTGGACTGAATGCTCTTTCTGCTATCATGGAAAGTCAAGGCAGACTTTTGAGTTTATTTTCCTGACATTTATTTATTGTTGGAGGGCAGGACAAGGCTCACAGAACATGTGTAGAGGTCAGAGGACAAGTTTCAGGACTCAGCTCTCCCTTTCTATCATGTGAATTATGGAGAATGAACTTAGTCATCAGACTTTGTGGCAAGCACCCCATCCCTCTGAGCCATCTGGCAGACTCCAGACTTGTAAGTTTAATCTGCACATCAACATTTTCTTTACTTTGTTAAATCTAGATAATCAGCTAAACAAGCAAGTACAACTTTGTGTCATCTGTCAGTTCTGTGGTGTAAGTGCTCCTGCTTCAGCCAGTTTGAAGCCTCTGAAGGCTCACCAACCTCAGAGTTGGAACTGATTATGTGTAACATACATGAAGGTATGGATTTTTTTCTTACATAAGGGATGTGATACAACTACAGATAGCATAATGAACAACAGTCTTGCCCATAGACTCTGCATAATTAACTGACTCAGGATACTTTCGTTGATTTTTGCTTGTCTGTTAAGAAGAGATGCACAGTAACACCATCACATCATCTCTCTACCACAGTGATAATGTTCTAGCTTCTTTACAATTGCTGTGATAAAACTCTGACCAATACCAGTTTAGGGAGGAAAGGGTTTATTTGGCTTACATCTCCTGGGTCACGGTTCATCACCAAGGTTGGAACTCAGGGCAGGAACCTGGAGGCAGGAGCTGAAGCACGGGCCATGGAGGAATGCTGCTTATTGGCTTGCTTCCCTGGCCCATGTTCAACCTGCTTTCTTATACAACACAGACCCACCTGCCCAAGGGTGGCACCACCCACAGTGGGCTGGGCCCTCCCACGTCACTCCACAATCAAGAAAATACTCCACAGACATGGCCACAGGCCATTCTAATGGAGGCAATTCCCCAGTTGAGGCTCCCTCTGCCCAGGTATGTCAAGTTGACACTAAAGCTGTCCAGCACAGATGTCAAGAAGTCTAAAACCTACCTCAAAAGAGAAAATGCAAAATAATCCCACCAGGATATGTTTGGGGCATCTACTACCTCCATGTGTGTTTGTATGCGTGTTCAGGTGCATGCACTATGTTTGCAGGTGCACACGTATGTGTGTGTATGCACGCGGAGGGCAGAAGTCAATGGTGGGTGTTTTCTTCTGCTGCCCCTATCTTACCTTGTGAGACAGGGTCTTTCACAGAAGCTGGAGTTCACTGAGGTAGCTAGTCTGACTGGCCAGCAAGCCCCAAGGATCCTCCTCCTGTCTCCAACTCCTTGACACAAGGATTACAGGCATGTGCCACCACACTACCACACTCAGCTTTTTATGTGGATGTTATGGTGTCGGGCGCTTGTGCTTTCTCACCAAGCACTATTTTCTCTCTTTCACACACACACACACACACACACACACACACACACACACACACACGGTTGTATTCACAACCAGCTCACAGAAGTCCTAAAAAAAATCTTACCACCCCTTATGTGCTGATTTCAGTACACCAGGTTGAAAGAGGAGCCTTGGAGATAGTCATAGCCACCTCAACATGTACACTGAAGCTCTGGGGATGGGAGAGATGGGCAGTGATGCTTGGATCAACTGTTCCACCAGATGTCCTGTGCCTTCACAAGCAGTTGTGGCTATAGGAAAGGATGCAGCCTAGGCTCTGGTGTGGCCCTGGCATGAAGTACTCCAACTCCTTCCTGCCATAGTGGATTTGACCTATTTTCAGTTCAGGAAAAAAAATGCTGATGGATTCTGCAGTTGCCAGCTTTGGCTACTGGCTGCACAGCCCTGGCTTTGACAGCATTTCCCATAACTCCGCAGGTCTGGAAAGAATGACATGGCTGGGGATCATTTTGAAGACAATTAAGGCTAATGAGCTGACTCAGCCCCTCCCAAATTAAAAAAAAAAAAAAAAAAAAAAAAAAAAAAAAAAAAAGGCAGGAAATGGCTCTGGCTAAAGGCTAGTTTTGCCTTGGTGGCTGGTTTAAACCAGATAGAAAGTAGAATGAGAGATCTGATTTACTAGCAAAAATTATGATTTGCTAGGCCAGGCCTTGACCTTGGCTGATTCACAGGGTGTGTCCACACGGAGGCTGTGGAGAACCATTCACTTTTCTTTACCATTGGTAAGAGGGTATATTTGCTCGGCCTCTATGGATGACAATTTGACCTTGAATTTCACAGCTTTAAATTCACATTCCCTGTGACCCAGATGCTCAAGAATATTTGTTGTAGCATTGTTTGATTTTGTAACACAAAATTGGAAGCAAACTCAAGTCTACAGATAGGTGGCTTGCCAAACTTATAAATTGAGGCAAATTAGTGCTATTAAATCACTAAGAAGAATACAGTCATTCTTCTTTTTGTTTTTAAATTTTTATTTGTTTTTACTTTATGTGTATGAGTGTTACGCCTGCATGTGTGTAAGTGCACCTGTGTCAGGCAGTGCCCACAGAGGTCAGAAGAGGGAGTCAGATTCCCTGGAACTGGCCTTATGGATGGTTGTTAGCTGCCTGTGGGTGCTGGGATTTAAACTCAGGTGTTCTGCCAGAACAGTCGGTGTTCTTGACCACTAAGCCATCTCTCCAGCCCTGAGAATGTAGCCATTCTTTATTACCTGTTGTTGAACAACCTCAAAGATATTGAGAAAAAGCAAGGCTAGGAGCAGTATGTACTAGGCTGACACTTGGATATTTGAATGCTATATAGTAGATATTTAAATGGGTATAAAAGGATATGCAAAGAAAATGGTCTCAGTCTTTGAGGAAGAAAACACTCTCCAACATCTGGAGCTTTCTGCAGGTTGTGCATTGCAATCCAGGTTTCTAGCCTTCATGAACTGCTACCCCTGCTGGGGTGGACTTTTGGTGATACAGTTATGTTTGAGTCATTTCTGCCCCTGTAAGTAACCTTCACCCATACTCCTGTGAGTAGCCCAAATAAAATTCATTGTTTGCCAAAGTTGGACGTTGGTGGTATCCTTACTTTGGTCTGTCACTGGTTTCTTATCTGGGATAAGTAGATGAATGTTCATGATGCCCTAGGAATAGTCTCTCACAACAGGAGAGGAAGAGGAAGAGCCTTAATAGGGGGAGGGGATAGTAGAACATGTGATATGAAAAAAGAGGAGGAGAAACTGGGGGTTAAAGGTTTGAGCATGGGGGTGGGGATGGGAAAAAGAGAGGGTGGGGTCAGTTAGTCAAGACTAAACATGCATGAAAAAGCCTTACAGAAACCCATTGCTTTGTAAGCTAATTTTTAAATGTTTTGAAGGAGTTTAAATGTGGGTGCTCTCCATGCATGAACAATGCTGCTCCCAAAATACATGGGTTATTAAATGAATATCTCAATACGAGGCATGAGCATAGTATCTCCCTATGAGCAACATGTTAGAGAGGCCCCGAGACATCCAAAACAACACAACTATTGCTATTGCTCTTGGCTGCCCACCATAACTAGATGGTAAGACCCTATTGCTGTAGGCACAACATACTTTGGCTATAGGACATAATCAATCTCAAACTGACCAGGAAAAACTCTACCTGCTGGAAAGCTTTCATAGTGCTAGAAGGTATTAGGTAGACTTCTGGGAGAGAAAAGGCTCTTAACCCAGCACTAGACCCTACATCCTACAATACCAGCCTGCCAGGCAAGTTGTGACTATCTCAGGCATGAGCTAGATCTCAGTCTTTCCAACCCCCTTGTTTAGCAAGTATATTTTAATCTCTTCAAGTTATCCTATTAAAGTTCCCTCACTGGCTTAAAGTGAGAGCAAACACCTATTTCATCCTTCAGTCCTCAGGATGAGACGTGACATTCTTTCTAAAATATTTTTATGTCACACAAAGTATTTTGATAATGTTCACCTCCATTTCTCCAGATAACTCCTCCAAGATCAAACCCCACCTTCCTAACCCCTCATTTCATGTCCTCCTTTTTTAAAATAACCCATCAAGTCCAATTTGTGCTGCCCATATACTCCTGCATGTGGGACCATCCACTAGAATGTGATCTATCAACAGGAGCCATATCCTTAAAGAAAACTGACTCCCCCTCCTCCAGAAGCCATCATCTGTCCATAGCTCCTCAGTAGGGGTGAGGGCCCCTGAACCCTTTTTCCCTACATGGTAGAATGTTGACTGGCTTGGGACAATCTTGTGTAGCCACCACAGCTGCTATGAGTTCATGAGTACAGTGGTCCTGTCATGTTCAGAGGACACTATTTCACTCTGGTCCTCCCTGACCTTTGACTCCTACAATTGCTGTGATTGGTCTAGACTATGACTCCGTATTGGAGGCAAGGAAAGAATGCCAGGAATGTAAGAGATTCCTTGAGCTTCTCTGGGCATTATCATGCCCTGGGATCAAGGCCCATGAAAGAACCGAATAATGGTCTAGACTCTTCAGGATAAAGGTTTTGGTCAGTTCACCAGGTGAAGAACCACAACCATCTGAGGTGCTTGCTGAATGCAAAGGGGACACAGAGTGAACAATGGAAGAAAGTAGTTATAACTACCAGCTACCACCACATGGTAAGTTACAGAAATGCTCATTGTCAGGAGTATTTCCTCCTTATTACACAGATGAATATGTTTTGTGTCTGAAGATACACATTTTTCAACTCTTATTCCATTATCATTTAACCTGATACTTTGACTTTGTATCACAGTATTTAACGATGGTTTTACACTACAGTGTTTACTAACATTATAGGGCATGAGAAGAGTGAACATCACTGAAGAATTTCCCCACTTCTGGGGTAAGGGTTAGTACACAGGGCTTGTGACCAGCTTGCTATTGTCTTTATTTAGAGGTTAAGTATGGCTTAAAGAGATGTGTGCCAAATGACAGGGGTGACTGTGATGGTTGGTTTTGTATGACAACTTAACCAGGCCTCAAGTGCCCAGATAAAGCATTCTGTCTGGGTGTGTCTCTGAGGATGCTTCTGAATGAGAACATTTGATTCTGTGGAGTCAGTAAATTAGAGCACCCTCCAATGTGGGTGGACATCATCCAATCCCCTGAGGGCCTGCAGAAGAGTGAAAGGTAGAAGCAGGAAAGCCCCATTCCTGCCTATAGTGACTATTTCAGCTACGGATATCCATTCTTTTCTGTCCTTGGACTTGGATTTACACCACCAACTTCCTGATTCACAGACTAAGACATGGACTCAGTCATACTGCTGGCTCTCCTGAGTCTCCAGCTTCTGTTGACTCTGATTCTCTGGAAAATGACCAATGCAGTTGGTGACACTATATGGGCATCACCAAACCCAGGTGGTACCCTCAGGTGAGCCCATCTCCACCTCTTCCCTATCTTCCACTGGGGATTCCCAATGGCAAAGCTCAACCAGAAGCCAGAGGGCAGAAGCTCTTGGCTAAAATCCAAGCAGGTCAGCCTCCTTACAGAGAAGAAAGAACATTGTGGTCCAGGTGGGGGATGGCAGTGGAGCGGGCAATGGAAGCCATCCCAAGGCCTCACATTCCTAAGAATTCTCACTTTAGGGACTTAAGACCAAGAGCAGTGAGCAAGGACTGTGGGACCCAGTTTCTATCTAGATCAACTCTGCATTCTTTCTCTTTCCTGGGCCTCAATTCTCTCATTTGTAAATGGAATCTACTGACCACCATCTTTAGGTGCCCATCTCACTGGCCCCTCTGGGACAGGGGTCTCATTACCCAAGCCACCATGATGCAAAACTTTATACACAAGGACAGTGTTCTCCAAAGACAGAAATACTCTCAACTCTCAGTGCAGACCAGAATCACAGAATTTTCAACCTAGAAACTTACCTGTTCTACCTCAGAATCCATTTGAAGTATCTTTTCTTAAAATAGCATTTCTCAGAGAATTCATTCACAGCGTTTCTCATGGGCCCCTCCTCCAGGGGTTTGACTGAGTGCATCTGGGGCATGATCTTTATGCAGGTTCTTGTATCAAACTTTGAAAACATTGTCCTGAAGGATGATTCTGCAATATAGTATACAAAGTTTTAAGTTCATTTGTTCCTTAATGAAAACAAGCTATTCTCGTGTAATGGTTATTTTTAAAACAACAATAAGAGTTTGGAGGCATCCAACCCACTTAATGTGTTGCATCATGGAACTACTTGCTAAGTAGTAAAATTGCATTTCAAAACATGATCAAACATCAACCTAATCAGCCAGGTGTTAGGCTCTCAATCACAAGCCTCAAAACACATAATCAAGTATCAGTAAGCAGGTGTTTTAAGTGAAGAGTAAAATAAACAGTTGCCTTTGTGGTTATTTAGGAGGTTTCACAACATTAAGATGGAGAACGTTACACTCAAGCAAGCCAGCCTCTAAAGTTCCTCGGCAGAATAAACCCAGGCACTAATTAGCACAGGAGACTTGAACCAATGGCACTTTTAAAAGCCTTTGATCTGTTTCATTTCCTTTATCCCCAGTACCTTTTACTGGTTTACTCTTACAGATGGTGAGTCTTTAAAAACTCACTGGAACACAATCACATTTTCAAATGAAGTATTTTGATTGATTTAGAGAAAGACAAAGCACCCAGATTGTAAACAAAGACGTGCCACTGTGCAGGAACTCATCCCACCTGGCTCTCCAATGTGACAGGAGAAGGATGCAGAGCCCTGGAGACAATGCTAAATCCTGCTTTAGAGATTAGTTTTTGTTCTCCTACACATTCAAAATGTTTCTCAGTCGATCAATAGTTATGTTAGCATAACCCCATGAAAATCACTGACGGATTGAAGGTTGGACCCTAAGCTTCATTAATCATTTTTAACATTCTTATTCAACACTCAGAAAGTTCTCATGAAGGTGTCTGGTCCCTAAGGACTTCTGGAGTCAAACAGAGACAAGAATCAGAACCATGAAGTCGGGGAGGGTGGTTCCTTTTTCCTATCCCCTCTGTTTCCTAATTAGCTATCCAGCCTTAAATGCTACTTAAACTGAATAAAGTTGACTTGAGCAACAGTAAAGGTGCAAAAAACAGGGCAACATTCCACACCAAAGGCGGTTCAGAAGGACTTATTCCACTACAGGTGTTCGGGGTCTTTATAGTCAGAGGAAAGCAAGAGATACAAAAAGAATCTGATTGGTTGAGATTGGCATTTACTTTATATGGTCCAGTCTATGCCACATTCAGCCTCTGATTGGCTAGAGCTTCTGCTGCTATGATTACCTGAGATTCAGTTGCTTCGTTACAAGGCTATACTCATGTTTCAGCAATTCAAGCTAGGTTATAGTTCACAAAACAGAGAAACTGATTTGGGCCAAACTTCAAGAATAGAGACAGGTGAAAGCCAAACTTACTTCCATTTAACAATATATAAATACATACACTAGTTACAATACATGCATACCAATGTGCATGGGTACAAATTTCTTTTTTCTGTTTTTCTTTATTCTTGAGAATTTCATACATGTATACAATAAAATATGTTAATCTATCCCATATTTTCTCCACCTCCCCTCATATCTCCAATATATCTTCCTCCCAACTTCCTGTCTTTTTTAAAAATAACCCACTAGGTCTAGTTAGTGTTGCCATGGTTGTAGAGTCATCCACTGGAACATGAGAATCCTACCAGTGACCACATCCTTAGAAAATAGTGATTCTCCCTCCCTCAGCAGCTATCAACTTCCAATAGCTCTTCAGTAAGTGGTGGGGCCTGGAGATAATCTGCTCTGTCTATACTGGGATTTTTGGCTGGCTTGCTCTTGGTAGCTCTTGTGCAGGTAACTTCAGCTGCTGTGAGTTTGTGAGTGTGACAGTCATGTCCTGTCCAGAAGACAGCATTTCACAGAGCTCCTCCCCATCCTCCAGCTCTTACATTCTTTCTGCCTCCTTTTCCATGATGTTCCCTGAGCTTTGGTGTATGTGTGTGAATGTGTGTGTGTGTGTGTGTGTGTGTGTGTGTGTGTGTGTGTGCGCGCGCGCGCGCGCCTATGTATGTCTGTGTCTGTGTTTCAGGGTACTGATATAGATGTCCCCTTTAGGGCTGAGCACTCAGTCTCTCATTCTCAGCACTTTGACCGGTTATGTATTTCTCTGTTAGCTGATGCATACAAATTTCTATACGTATTTTCAGAAGTATTAAGTATGTTTGAATAGTAGGCTTAAATATTCTCTCTCTCTCTCTTGCTCTCTCTCTCATCTCTCTCCCTCTCCTCTCTCTGTCCCCCCTTGTCTCTCTCTCACTCTGACTTCTTTCTCTCTGAGAGAGAGAGAGAGAGAGAGAGAGAGAGAGAGAGAGAGAGAGAGGCAATGTGTTTAAAGCCTATAATCTCAACACTTGGGAGACAGAGTCAAAATAAAAAGTCCAGACCAGCCTGGGCTACCTAGCAAGACCCTATCCCCCAAAAACAATAGCTAGGGATATAGCTCAGTGGTAGAGCACTTGCCTGGCATGCATAAGGCCCGGTACACAGCCAAAAATACAGAATTATTATAGAAGATGCAAGTGGTGTATTTACACAGGTATATCCCTTACCCAGTACTTCCTTTCTGAAACCTTTCATTATTTTGCATAGTGAGCTACAGAATATTACAGTTCACAGCTGAATTCTTTTCTTCACTCTTTTGTTGCTTGTTTAATAGATAATATTTTTAATTGACATAGTAATTATGCACATTTATGGGGTTCATTATGGTATTTCAATATTTCTAAAATTTCTATACAATGTATAATGATCAGATCTAGGTAATTGGTGGATCTGTTATCTCAGGTATTTATCATTTTGTTATGTTGGGAACATTCAAACTTTGCTACTTATTTGAAAATATTTAAATAATTGTTGTCAAGCACAGTTATCCCACTGTGCTTAGAACATTAGAAGCTGTCACTCCCATCCACCTGTACCCTGTGCTCATTAACCATCCTCGCTCCATCCTTTCCTCCCCCAGCTGTTTTGTTTTATATTTCATATCTTACGTAAATCAAAACTGACTTCTATCTTGTTTATGTGTTATATAAAGATTTATAAAGGCATTGGAAGACGGGGCTTAGCGACAACTTAGTACATCTATTCATGTGTCAGAGAACAGTGGGAAGGATATGGTAGTGACGTAACACTTCATCAAGTAGGATATGTCATTTATCTTCTAATTGCATACACTGTGATTTTAAGAGCTGAGATGTAGGGACTGGAGAGATGGCTCGGTGGTTAACGGCACTGGCTGCTCTTGCAGAGGACCTAGGTTCAATTTCCAGCACCTACATGGTGGCTAACAACTGAAACTCCAGTTCCAGGGGATCTGAAGCCCTCTTCTCACCTCCACAGGCATTGCATGACACAGGTGCACCTACCTACGTTGCAGGCAACACACCCATACACATAAAATATTTTTTAAGAAAGAGCTGAGATGCAGCTAGTGGTGGAGGACAGGCCTAGCATGTGCAAGATCATGGGTTCAAAAAAGAAAGAAATAATACAAAACAAACAAACAAAACCTCAAAAGAGGGCCTGGGAATATAATTCAGTTGGTAGAGTGCCTGCCTAGCATTTAGGAAGCCCTGGATTTGATCCCCAGGTATGGAAGTGCTTGCATGTAAGCTCATCACTTGGGAAGTAGAAGCAGTAGGATCAGAAGTTCAAGGTCAGGCTGGGGAATTGGCTCAGTGGGGAAAGCACTTACTTTGCAAGTGTGAAGACCTGAGTTTGAATCCCCAGAACCCACATAAAGCTAAACACAGTAGCGCACATAGTTATAATCCATCCCAGCTCTGCTACAGAGAGATGGAAGATGGAGACAAGGGAATCCTGGAAGCTCAAAGCAGTGAAGAAAAGACCCTACTTCAAACAAGGTGAAAGGCAAAGACCAGGACCTGAGGTTGTCCTCCACCTCCACCTGTGTGCCATGGATGCATGTGCTCACACCCACAAACATATATATATATATAAAATCACACACAAAAAAAACATAAAAAGAAGAAATTCGAGGTCATCCTCAGTTACATATAGAGTTTTGAGACCAGCCTAGGATACATGAAATGTCTCAAAAACAAACAAAAACAAGAAAGCCTAAAATAATATGAAAGGACAATGGAGGAAATTCTTTTGACACAGGCAATATATTTTGCATCCATAATTATGGTAAATATATCTTTGCCAAAGCATCAATATATAATTCACATTACCATACCTAGAAACAGCAATATGTAAAAATGATGACAACACAGAAAGATTAAAAACACAGGAACTAGGGGCTAAAGAGAAGGCTCAGGGTTTAAGAGCACTGACTGCTTTTGCAGAGGACTCGGGTTCGATTCCCAGCACCCACATGGCGGCTGCAAACAGTCCTTAACTCTAGTTCCAGGGGAATATGATGCTCTCTTCTGATCCCTGCAGCATTGTATGACATGGGTGCACTCACATACATGCAGGCAACACACTCATACACATAAAATAAACATAATAAATAAAATATTTTTAAAAAAAAATACAGGAACTAGGGTCAGGCGTGGTAGCCCAATGCCTTTAATTCCAGCACTCAGGAGGCAGAGGCAGGCAAATCTCTGTGAGACCAACCTGTTCTACATAAAGAGTTCTAGGCCAGCCCCAGATACATAGTGAGACACTGTCTAAAAACCAAACCAAAACAAAACAAAAACAAGCCCAGGAACTAAAAATCTCCCTGGAGAAGATAACATTGAATACTTTTGTAAAATTTTAGTCTTTTCTCAGTATATACAACTATACCTACTGATACAATTATATTTATTTTTATGAAATGATATAATGATACAGACTGTTTGGCAACATACTCTTTTATACTTCCAAATCAAAACCTGCATCTCGACCTCAATCCTTACAACAGCTGCTCTTGCTTATCACATTATAGTTTGCAGCTGACTTCAGCATCTCCTACAGAGAAACATCTGTGCTATTTCAGCTTCTACACTTACCAACAATGTGACTTTATATATCTTGAATCTATATCTTTGAACAGTTGTCTAATTATTCATGAAGGTGAAA